TCCAGTCAAGCCTTCTCCCTATATTAGATTATATGTGCTTGGTCGGTTTCCTACTTAAGACTTCCACGATCATCTACGAATTCTATGCAAAGAACAAGCCTAAAGTTTAGCCAAAAGATAGGTTAGATTCTATATAGTTTGTTTCTGTTACTAATAATTGGATGGTATAGCAGACCAGCAGCAATCACAACAAAATTTGTTGTCACATATTTACCAATCATCAGTTAAAGATAGGTGATAACTCATTAAATTAACAAAATCCTTTCTCTTAATGCTGAAGTCTAGAAGTCTGACAAGTTATGTAGAGTGATTTAGAATGCCTAAATAATTAAAAAAAATCTATTTGTAAGTTTTGAGACAGATAAAATTTCCGAATAAAAATATTTAAGGTTAAAATTTATATTTAACACTACAATTTTATAATTTAAACGAATAGAAATCTTGATTAAATTAAAAAAAAAAAACATATTTACTTCTTATTGAATCTAATTTTTTCCAAATTCTAAATTGCTACCCTTTCTATTACTTTCAAAGTCATTTCACACACAAATATATTTTAGAAAAATCCATATTTTTTTGTTTTATTAATAAATACGTTTCATTAATAAATAATGCATCCTTAAATATTAAAAAAGTTAGGAAGAGATTAAATCTAACGCATAATACAAATAAGATATAAAATATATAAATATTTTATTCATATCTATTTGTGCATCTATCCTCTATTCCTAATTTTTAATAATTATTCTTGTGTTCCTGATATTTCTTACAAGGCCTTAGACATACTAATTATTTCTTTCAATCGACTGTCGATTTTTATGAAACCCTGATATAAACATTAATTAAAAATATCTATAATCTATATGATTCAATATTAAAAGCTAGAAAAAACAATATTCGACAAAGTAACAAAAAATCGACTTCATAACTGCACATCGGATTTTACATCGTCATGTGAGAAGAAGCCAGAGATTTCATTGGATATAACTCATCGTGTCCAGTGTGCAGTAGACATAAGGACATCCTTCACACTGAAAGAAAAAATTGACTGCCATAGCAAAATTATTAGATGATAAAATATGGTTGCCAATTAAAAATGCTGTATCATATTCAGCCATTCTTTTCTTTCAATGCAGAAATCACGATTTTTGATAATTTTGGGACATGTCAGTCTTTTCTACACTGAAAGAAGGATTTGCTGCAGCAAATTAGATAGTAAAATATATAACATAACATTTTTAATTGGCTGCAACAGCCAATTTTTGGTTGCTGCAGCCAATTTTTGGTTGTGTTAGCTTATCCTCAATGTCATAGGATTTCGATTGACTAACGCAACCAAAAATTGGCAGCTACATCCAATTAAAAATGCGATGCCATATTTTATCATCTAATTTGCTGCAGCAACCGATCTTTTCTTTCAGTGTACGGAATAGCGATTGTGCGAGAATGTATACGCGATGAGACGTCATTCATGCGAATGAAGCGTCCAGATCGAGCGATACATTTTGCAGAGTACGATTATATAAGATTTGCCGGCCGCAAATGGATGGGATTTAAATCTAGACAGACGACGCAATACCGCCAGCGTTCATGAACACTCTTTAACGGGTAATCCGGCCGACAATAGATCGGAATGAAGAAGATGCCAACGCGAAGCGGAAGTATAAGGAAATACGTAGCCGCATACCTCGACGAGCAATAACTTATCTTCTATCCGCTTCTTACCTTTTCCTCCTCGTTTCCGCAAATCATATAAAGCGCGCTCAAACCGGAGGAGGAACTCGTCGAATACGAAGGTGTCGTTCCGTTTCGCGAAGATACCAGCAATTTCACTGATATTCCGCGACTCTCTGCTCAGACGAGACAGAAGGACACATCACGTAGTGATCGTTTACTCGCCAATTTTTTTTTTAAAGCGTTTCTCTCTAAAGTCCCTTTTTCACTTGAAACGTGCTGTTCGATATGAAGTTTACAACATTGATGAAAGTCGGTTTTTAACTTCTTTTCTATATAGGTGATTTTATCAGTAAATTTAATCCTTCGCCGGTAACTAGAGGTCTTTAAAAGCACCATCGATATTTTGATAAATTTAAATTTCATAGAGAACGCCAATGAACGATCAAAGATTTTGGATTTTTTTTTTAAATAATACGATATATGTTCTTTGTTGAATCGAAATATTTAAAATATGATCGCCCGTCGAAACATTCGGACATTCGCGTATATGAAATTAATTTATCTCATATGTGATTATGTGTCGAATTTAAATTTGTAAAAAATAAATAAAATACAATTTATATAATAGTAAAAACTCATTGTTAAAATTTTGACAAATATATCAGAATATTTTTCATTTCTTTATGTAATCCAAAACTAGAAAAATTTGCTGTTTTTCTTGAAAATTTCTTGCTAATAGAAGAGTTAAAATTCAGTTGCCGGCAGAGGATAGCATTATTATTATTTCGATTATTAATTGCGCTGAAATATCATAGCTTTGTATACTGTATAATCTAAAAAATTATTATATATAATAATTATTGCTATATAACAGCACGTGAACTTGAAGCATTAAACCAAGTCAAGAGAGAATGTAGCTTCGTCAACAAGTTTCAGAGTATTATAGGCTTTAATGAGTTAAATCTGCTTGTATTAAGCAGAACCAGTGATGGATTTGTCGATAAGCGCTTTAATAGATCGCTTAGAGTTTCAAAATTGTTCCATGATATTATCACTATTTTGTAGATTGATAGAATAGTGACGCGCGGACAATATACACAATAATTATTTGAATATGTCGCAAAATCGAGAAAATTATGAAAATATGAAGTTTGAGAAAATGCAACATTACTTAAGAATGCCTGGAAGATAGCACTGTCGTGTATGTCTCTCGACAATTTTTGCATTTATGACAAAATAAATAAGCCGCTTACTACTAATGAGATTCTGTACTTTACATTCTGTGAATTACGCGTAATGCACCGTCCCTGTTTTTTTTCCAAGCCGATTCTCATTACGATGCGAAGAAGCGGTTGCTTTTGGTTTCAAAAATCATTACTTTAAAGCGAGGTAACTGCATTAGTAGCATCATAAATTCACGTCAATGTAACCGAACGAGAAACACTATTAATCTCGACTTCACCAGTGATGCAGTCTCTCCCACCTCATCATGCTCCTCCGTTTCGAAAAAAATTTGTACTATAAATCATAAAAAATAAATAACGTCGTTAGCGATCCGTTTTCGTAAAAAAATAAATCTTACATAGGCAAGGCGATGTCACGCGAGTGAAATACACGAAATCTATGGTATATAATTCTCAGTTGACCACTTTGACAAATAGTAAGAAGCTCACAGGAAATTGAAAAGTATGCCATTCGACAGGTAAAATTAGCGCATTTTTAAGTGCAGTTTCTCTAAGAGAGTTACTATATCGCGATAACTTTGTTTGCCATTAAATGCGCGATCATATCACATTAAGCGCGATGTCACTTTGTATCGGCTAATGAATTCTTTGAAAGACCGCTTTGAATTTCAACGCTGACCTATTGTAACGCAAGCAGGCAAAGCGGCATCCGCTTCGATTTGCCTCGGTTGCCCTACGGAGGTCGGCTTCTCTCCCTTTAGCCGATCGATCGTAAAATATTTGCTGCAGCCTTCGCGTACGGAGGGAAAATTCCTATAATGGAGTTTGCACATCGTGCCACCGGAGGGTAGATAGGTAGAGAGGCTGTACGGGCGGCAACCCTTGCGTGTACACGTTACACGCGATAGAGAATGTCGGCTGAGTTGATTTACAAGCGAACACATATAATGTGGGGGTGTTCGGTGCGCATAAAATTCATACACTAAATTAAATACGACCATAAGTACCTGGAGTACTCGGGCAGGTACCGAGTACACTCGTGAAACTTCACGGAACGAAGAACGATTATTTATCTCGTGCTAACGCCCGAAGGGGTTCACG